GTGGCAATGGTAGTGGTAGTGGTAGTAGTAGTAGTAGTAGTATTTAGCCTCTGCAGACGGTGTCTATATCAGGAGATTATGCCGAAGCAGCTCAGTCGAAGACAGATAAGAAACACATCTTGCTGCGAGTGTTCTTTCATGTCGTGACTTGTATCGAGTGTTTGCTCAAGCTTCTGATCCAAGCTGAAAGCTTTACACTCCTCCACCCGACCATGTGGAAGTTGAAACCGTGCTCCACAGTCATTGACTTGGACATCGACTCGGACAGCGACCATGCGGTTCCCAAACGGCCGCGACCAAAAACATCTATCTTAGCGAAGCTCGAAAAGTCCAGAAGCATCCGGAACCCCACCGTCAAGAACGAGAAGATGGACTTGGATCACACTACCGCGAAGCACCGCCAGACGAGCACAGACGTGGAAAAGAGGGACATCAATCCAGAGCCCAACATCACGGGGAACAGAACCAACACAGAGGCAGCCACAAGCCGCGGACATGTGCTTCGTGACCTGTGGCGGCCGCATGAGGGTCATGGATCCTGTCGCAATGCAGCCTGCATCTTTGGACCTCGCGGCAGTGTCGCCGCTGCTGGGCCTGCAGGACTTTGCGATCTCTGCAACTTCCCGGACATGGAAACTTTGATGCAGCATGGACAGGGCCGTTTGACTCACCTCTTGAATCAACTGGCTGGACCCGAAGCTCGCATTGCTCTCGCTCGCATCGAGACCGCCATGGGGAAGACTTTCGCCAACGAACTTCGAGCCAGGATGCAGAGAAGTCAAAGTCGCAAACGAGCCGATCGGCCTCGCCGCGGCCCTCGAGGACCATACAAGAAGAAGTGAGCTGACGGAGCGACTCCTCACTTTGGAGCCGGCCTAGTTGTGTTTCCTTCTTCCTTGAAGCTTGCTGAGTGCGAAAATCCATCCAATAATGACAGCTTCCACACAGCAGACTCGCGCATGGAGCAGGTTGCTGTTCGCGTTGATTGCCTAGCTGTAGCACCGGCTTTCACCAACCGACCGTAGCATTTCTGTGTTCAAGTGCGACTTCTCCTAGTGCTCCTTCTGCTTGTCATCGTCATGTCTGAGGGCTTGCTCGGTGCGTTCTCCAGCGATGCTGCGGCCAACACCCAGGCGACCGAGAAGAGGCGCGTGAAACTTTTTCCATGGGATAGCGTTGCGACTCAGCTTCTCGAGCCTTATGGCGAAAGCAACTTCGACACTCTCTCCTTGACGAAGCTCTACGAGGCGACCGCCAGGGGAAACAAGTCAGCAGCCTATCACTCCCATCTCTGTGCCCCGATGGATACAGACGCCTGGCATGTTGGTGCCGGAATTTCTCAAACAGCCGCCGCTCTGCTTGCGGCCATCGGGAAATTCCGCTCCAAGGAGATGAAGGCAATCATGAAGGAGGAGCTCTATGCAAAAGTCGAGGAAGAACTGGTCGGACTGGAGCCGACGCTGAAACGCTTGAACATGGGAAAGGGCAGTCAAACCCAGAAAGATGCCGGATCTTTCCGCGAAGCCAAGAGGCAGAAAACAAGCCACACTACAGATTTGCCGATCGAGTCGACCCCAGAGGCGGAAATCAAGCAGGCTGCCCTCGCCTTTCATCAATGGTTGAAGCAACCGCAGAGTGCCTTCCGCAGCTTGCTCTTCATTCTCGCCGGTAGCAACACCTACTACACGGGCCACGTCGCCGAAACCACGGCCCGCGCCGTGGTGGAGCAGAAGCCGCTGAGCCAGGCGGACTTTCAGACGGCCATGGTAGCGCGGAAGACCAAGGCGCCTGAGGCCACAGCCACAGCAGCTGCGTCCAGTACTTCCGGTCTGTTCCAGTTGTAAGGTCCGGCCGCACAGAGCTTGTGCGCACAGATTTTGATGAGTTCTTTCACTGCGATGTTCTTGGTATGATTGCCGCGGTCCTGATTCGCGCTGGCTACCTGGACAAGGTTGCGTGTGCAAAACACGGCCTAGGCCGGAGCCGCTACCACTAACAGACATTCTACCTTGATCGAACCAGCAGTCTCTGCTTCAAGCACTTCGCCTCGCTAAAGCTAGAAAAAGCTGCTTGTTTGTTTCAACATAACCAGAGCATGCTGTGTTGTACACTGCATGTTGTCACAAGCGCGTTGCATCACAATGTCTGCGTGTGAACTCCCTGCAGCTGCATTGAAGCACTTTTGTTGCAGTCCTGCCCTTACCTCCGTACCACCGACCACATCGTCATCATGGCGGGTAACACTGTGGGCTTCCGCAATCTCGGAACGTCTTGTTTCGTGAATGCCGGCCTCCAAGCAGTTCTCGGAGTTCAACCCTTGGTCAGAGCCATCAATGAGGGCACGGGTGATGAGGAGGTTGCTCTTCAGCGACTCCTCGCGCGGCTCGCGATGACCACCGAAGCTTTCGTGCCAACGGAGGTGACGAACCGCTACTACCGCCATCGGCAAGAAGACGTAACAGAGTTCCTGGGCAAGCTGCTGGAAACATGTCTTGGCTGTCACGAATTCTTGTACGGCAGTGAATGGTCCAGCTTCCAATGCCAGCATTGTGGCTATCGTCGTTTGCTGCGGGTCGACAACTTTGATAGAATCCAGCTGCCGATCCTGGGCATGAAGTCTGTTCAAGAAGCTCTGGATGCGTACCTGTCCCAGAGCACCGTCACCGAGGATGCCGCAAACTGGTTCTGCCTGACAACGGACTGTCTCACGAATGGCCTCGCCGAGAAGAGTCCCTTGTACGTCTCCGGCATCGACAGTTGGCCAAAAGTGCTAGTCCTTTCGCTGAAGAGGTGGAACTGGAACCTCGATGAGGTGGTTGCCCACAAGATCTTCGTCGATAAAGTCTTGCAGACGGCTGACTGCAAGTATGACTTGTGCTCCTTGGCCACGCACATTGGACGTCGCCCTGACAGTGGTCACTACATGGCTTACCGTCGAGACGCGTTCGGCTTCCTGAAGTTTGACGATCATGAGGTCACGCGACTGGCCCCAGCAGAAGAAGACGACTTCGTGACCGTGGCTGCGGAGAAGGTTTACGTCCTCTTCTACGTCAAGCAAGACCACATCCTCCCGGAGAACACGCAGGCTCGACCGTCGAAGTACCGGCGACTTGCCTCACACGAGATCCCAGAGTCCGCCCAAGCAGATGCCATAGACATCGACACAGACTCCGATGTCGTTGTTCAACAAGATTTGCAGCCAAGCCACCCTCCTCCTGTTCCTTCAGAGCCTGCAACTGCAGCAAAGCATGTCATTGACCTCGACTCCGAGAGCGATGTCGTCACGGAGAAAGATGTGTCCAGACAGCCTTCCGCCGAAGCCGCCAGCGACCGCCAAATTCCTGCACTAGGACCTGCACCCACATCCAAAGAGCAAGATCACACTGGAACGCCTTTGTTGCGATTCAGTCACCACGAACGGCTTCGGATACAAGAAGTCTTGCAAGATGGCTCCACGGTGAAGGAAGCCAAGGCAGCGCTTGCTGTCACGGTGCCAAGGCTCACCGTCAAGGACAAGCAAGCGGCAGGATACCTCTCCCAGATGACGCTTCGTAATTGGGTACAAAATCCTGGCAGTTTCCAGAAAGCTCTGTCCAAAGCCACAAACCAAAATCCTTCCGCCGAAGCCGCCAGCGACCGCCAAATTTCTGCTCCAGCACCTGCACCCACATCCAAAGAGCAAGATCACACTGGAACGCCTTTGTTGCGATTCAGTCAGGATGAACGGCTTCGGATACAAGAAGTCTTGCAAGATTGCTCCACGGCGAAAGAAGCCAGGGCAGCGCTTGCTGTCACGGTGCCAAGGCTCACCGTCGAGGACAAGGAAGCGGCAGGATACCTCTCCCAGAGGACACTTCGTAATTGGGTACAAAGTCCTGGCAGCTTCCAGAAAGCTCTGTCCAAAGCGGCAAAGCAACTACATGAAGCTAGAGTCCACTCTGCTCGTTCAGGTAGCTCACGGGCAGCTCTCTCGCATGAAGACAAGATCATTATTCGCGATGCGTTGGACGCTGCGCAGTCGACCAACCACCTCGTCCACATCTTGACCGAACGCCTGGACGAGTTCAGTGCCACCGACACTGCAGCACCGAAGTACATTCCGACCAGCACGCTTCGAGACTGGATGAGACGACCAGCCATCGGCCGCTGGTTCGAGGCAGTCGAGTCGGAGACATGGGATGCCGAGTTTGATCGCACTTTCACGGTGGCAATGACCAAACCAGCCAAACGCGAGCCGAGTTTTCTGGGAACGGAGTCCCCGGACGACCACTGGCTAGTCTACGGCTCTTGGACTTTCTGCCCAGATTGTGGCCGTCGGCGTCCTCGCAGCCACGTCGCATCCAGAGAAGCCGTGAACTCTGCGGTCAAATGTAAGCCTCGGTGTGATCTTCAAGCCGAAGTCCTGCTTCAACCGCCTTCTGCAACTCTTGGTGCGAAGAAACTTCAAAGGCTACGTGACGCCAATGTCGCAGAATTGGGAAGCTCTGCTGGCCAACATGGAAGCCACCGGCTTGCCTCTTGTCACGGCCTTGACGAAGGAAGACCTGGACAGTCTGGCCATTGTCGACTTGAAGCTAACCTACCGCAGCCGCAGGGGCGGCCATGCCGAGATCACCAGCAAACAGAAGCAGACCGTGATCAGAGCCAGGTGGAAGCCGATGCTCTTGACCGAAGTCATCCGTTCTCAGAAAGCTGCTGCCGCCTTTGACTGGCTGCGAAACAATAACAGCACCTATGCTGCCTGGCTCGAGAAGCACATGCAGCGCCGCCAACACAGTGCAGCAGGACAGGGTGACTGGCGTGAAATTCCCACGGCCGAGCTGCTCCTGAACTCGCCGGGAATCGAAGTCGCCGCACGGCCTTGGCTGTATCCTTTGGCAAGCTTTGCCGACACGGACCTCGCCACTCGTCTCAAGGAGCTCTGCTGGATCGCCAAGAACAGCACCGTCTCCATCCGACAAGGCTTCCTGCGAAAGATTACTAGTCGATGTTTGGACTATTGTCGCGACTTCCGACTGCACTGTCTGTTGTACGATGTTTGCATGGCCAAGTCCATCACCTCCATCATCCATGTCGCCAACAAGATGCAGATCGCCCCGGAGCAAGCCGCTTCGCAACAGGATTCCTTCGAGGGATACTGGTGGCTGCAGATACGAAAAATGGAGGACGTCTGCAGACGTGAGTTTGAGCTCACCGAGGACATGAGTCAATCGCTGCCAAACGTCTTTTTCACCGTGGTGCCTGCCGAGTGGCGCTATCTGTTACCAGACGGTCTCATGTTCGCCGACAGTCTTTCAGACCAGCAGGCCGTCCTAACCCTCCACTTGTACCACACTTTGGAAGCAATGCTGGAGAAGCACCTCCTTAAAGAAGGATCAAGTCTGCGGCAGATCGGCTTGGCCAAGATAAAGCACTGGAGCTTTCGCTTTGAGTTTCAGTCCCGCGGCACCTTGCACATCCATGCGGTGCTATGGTCGCAGCTGCTACCCGGCTGGTCGGCTGAGGACATCACCGGTCGCACAGACGGCCCTGGAAGCGCTTTCGTTCGCCTGCTGGAAACGCTGTTCAAGTCTCGGGCAGATGTCCAATGTGGCGACGGCAACCACTGCTTGCTAAGGTACGTGGCAGGCTACGTCGCGAAGGCTTCGGATGCATTGCAGTTCTCCAAGCACCAATCTCTAGGTGAAGGTCAATGGCGCCAAGCTTACAGACTCATTTGTAAAAAATCGCCGACGGAACAAGAAATCCTGATGGAGTTCGCAGGGCTCGCCATGGTGAAGCACTCTTTCTCCGGAGTCGATGTCTTCGCACCGATCCCAGGCAGCTGCGCCAGAAACAATTCCAGACGACAATATCGTGCTTATCAGCATCATCTACGCCCAAGGCAAGACGAACCGGGAGATGCTCGACAGCTGACCTTCATCCAGTGGCTTCGGCAGTTCCAGCTGACGACAGATGACCCGGAGGACATGTCCGTGCACAGGCGAAACATCGCCGGGCCTGCACGGAACAAGATCGCCGGAGTTGCAATGCAGTTTCCGTACGAACTGCTCGACATTTACCTAGGAGCCTGGGCAGCGTCTTGCTTGCCAGGCATGGCGGAAGAACGTCTACTACCCACGGTACCCGACCAGCTGGACTTGCCAGGTTATGAAGACGAACTCGCCAGACGTCGATCCTTCATCGCTCCAGATGGGGCCAGGCATTTGAAAAGCGTGCTCTGTCTCAACGAGTTCCAGCTGGACGGAGCCGATGGTCTTGTTTACAATCCAGATGTCGCAAAGCTGCTCGGTGCCATTGAACCTGAACTAGCACTGCGGGGACTCAACGACGACAGAATCGCAACCTTGCAAGCTAAAATAGAAGCCACACACTTGCTGCTCCTCAAGATTCGTGATGGACAGGAAAGTCATGAACTTTGGTCGGTTCGCAAGCTGCCGGGACTCCCGGCGCGCCAGTGGTCTCCCGAGCAGCAACAGGTGCTCGATTTCATCAAACAGGCTCTGCGTCTACAGGACGCCGCAGAAGCGGATCGCGACTGCCGGCTGCTACACATCTCCGAGTCCCCGGGCACAGGAAAAACTGAAGTCGTCATCGCGGCGGCGGAGCTGGCCCTCGCCGACGATTGCAAGGTGCTCATCGGCGGGCCCATCGGCCTCTTGGTCGCCATGTACAAACTCCGCCTTCCGGTCACGGACAATCTGTGCATGGAAACCCTCCACTCGGCATTTAAAATTGGCCGAGACGCCGATGCAGCTTATATCCCTCCGGGACGGCTACGAAGGTATGACGTAATCATCCTAGACGAAATCTCCCAGATCGACGAGTTCGTGTGGGGGCGGATCAAGGTAGCTTTGAACGAGTTGCACCCAGTACCTCTCGTTCTCTTCGTCGGCGATGAGCAACAGTTGCAGCCCGTGCACGGTCAACCTCAACTCTTGCTAGACCTGGCATCCTTGACACAGGCCGGAAAAGCTCAGCATATTCGCCTGCGGCAGCATGAACTCGCCCGCTCGGTGGATCCGACCATGCTGGCATTTTTGAACAAGATCCGCACCAGGCAACCAACACGACCTGAACTGGAAGAGTTCTTCCGCGGCAGAGTCTGGGATTCCAACTTTCAGGAGGCCGTGAAGAAGAGCTATGACATCGAGAGGAACACCGGGAACAAGTTCATGTTCCTGACCGTCGCTAACAAGCCCGCAGCGGACCTAAATCAAGCAAGACTAGAGCTCGAATTCCCCGATGAAGCTCGGCGACTGTCTAATGGCGAGGGCTTACCTGGCGAGATCGGGAACATTCTCCTGGCTGCCAACATGCGCGTTCGCCTGACTCATAATGTCAACAAAGAGGAAGGCTTCGTGAACGGTAATACAGGTACAGTCAGGAAGGTCCTCCGCCGGGATGCGTTCATCATGGAGAGCTCGCAACAAACATGCATTTTGGTGTACCCAATCACCGTCAAAGGCCGCAAGTATCTCCCGGTCGCCTACGGGTATGCCACGACAATGCGCAGAGCGCAGGGGGCCACCATGGAAGCGATCGGATTGCTATTCGATCGTCGCGTGCCCGACAGAGGCTACGCGTACGTCGGCACGTCCAGTGCCAAGTCCAGCTGCATGGTCTTCCATCTTGGCAGACTGCGCCAGACGGACTGGTTGCCTGTTGGCGGAAACCCAAACGAGGAACACGCCTCGCTTTCCGTTTTCAGCGAGTCCAGCAATGAACAGGAGGAATCGGAAGAGCCGCCGACAGAGAGCCCGGAGGCAGCGTCCATCGACTTCGATGTCGAGCACGAATCCATGGAAGATGAGGACTTCCTGACAGCTGACAGCCCTGAGCCCGGGTCCACTGATTTTGAATATTGGCCGGACGACTGATACAAAATGTATCTGACATGCACCACTGCTGCTCACAGCCCTCGGCTTTCCTTCGGTGCCTTAAAAAACAGTTGCTCTCCTCCTGCTGCCAGCATGACTAAGTTGAGCCTAGACATCAACAAATGCATGTGACGCATTTGGACACAGCACGGTCGCTACCATCTTCGAAGAATTAGCGCCCGCTGTCGCTTGGCGTAGATCAAAACACAAGCACTTACCTATAGAATTGCCCCTACATATGTTCGTGAATATTCCCCAACCCACCCTAGAACTTCACTAGGCAAGTCATGCCGTCAGCTTGCTCGATGCTGTCTGGAGCCTACAACAACTGATATGACGAGGTGACTTAGTGACTTGACGTGCCTTCAATTCAAGCATTTGGGCATGCCAATATCAACTCGAAGACTTACTGCTTAGTAAACTAACTCAAGACTCACTCTGCTTACTTATAGCATTGCTACTTCCCCTTACATATGTTCGTGAATATTCCCCAACCCACCCTAGAACTTCTATCTTGCCGAACAACTAATTTGCTGGAACCCGAAATTTGCCTAACGAACTTGCCTAAAGACGACTAATTTGATGAGGTCTGGCCGCTGAGGTCTGGCTGGAGCCCGAAAT